TGAGCCTGTGGATGTTTATTTGCTTGGGTACCGTCTGCAGCAGGATGAGGGCAGACTCTTTGAGCAGCGGGTAGGTGGTGTAGAGCAGGATGCACACCATGATGATGCACAGCGTGGGATCCAGGTACAGAACCCAGCAGGGGCCTGACACACTGGTAGCGTTACTGACGTGCAGGTGGTCGGTCTCAGGACTGTTGAAGCAGACGTCCTTGCAGGTATCGTCTTGGCAGGGATTCCACACGAAGGTGAAAGTGATGGCATTGACCACCACGATGACAGAACCCAGAGCGTCACCCAGAACGTGCAGGAACACCCCGCGCATGTTGAGCTGAGCCGACGAGTCATGGTCATGTTCCAGCTCATCGAAGTGGGTGTTGCCGTTCATCTGCACCTCTGAGTTGTCTTTACAGCTCACATCTGGAGATAAAAGATCAGGGAGACAAGCTCAGTTTGCTGCTGCATAACAGCTGAGTGGGAAATGGACTCTGACACGTAGATACAACATTTGAGTTGACTCGGACGGAAACTAGGAATTACCTGGTAAACTAGATCAATGTACGCAAGCTTTAAATCCGCTACGGTTCAGAAACATTTCTGGTGATCCGTTGCTATAGCTTAAAGAAGCAGTTGACCACACAGGTTTTTCTGATTTTACAGGACGGTTTTCTGAAGATTGGGGCACAGAAAACAACCTACCTTTGTTTTCTATCAAACTTACAAAGAAAATCATAACTGGTTTGAAAAAAATAAAACAGTGTGAGATCTCAATTTTTAGGTATTTAGCAGAAAATCTCTTTTTCAACCAACCTACAAGAGACATCACTTTGTTAAGAGCCAACCGTAGGAGGGTTACAACGGCTGACAGTCTGAGCAGCGTACTCCTTTGAGTTCTTGAGAACTCATGAACATTTGGCTTTATAGTTACTGAGTAACTAATAGAAAATAGAGATATTAATCAAGCTAGAAATGAATCTATCTATTGGCTATTTTGTGATTAATTAAAAAAAAAACCCTTATTGGATTAAAATCACTAAATGAACAAATGCTCTAAATTTATAGGGAGAAAACTTGATGGCACAAATTTAATTTGTTAATGTTAAAAACATTCATACAAATTTTGTAAGGTTTTGTCTTTATTACGGATGTAAGTGGGTTATTAATCTTTCAGCAAATTGCATTTTTTTGCATCTGCAAAGCATTACTGCAGGTAACAATTAAAATATTTTGTTGGTTGACTATTTCAGAAACAATTAATGTGGCCTACTTGAAAACTGAGCTGGTGTTTAATTTATTTTTTCTTATAAGACTCAAACATAATACAAAATAAGCAGATCACTTTTATATAAAAAATATTGAAGCTCTATTGATTGATATTTCCTATTATCTGCTGCTTTTTTTGTTTAGCTACTGTTTTATATGTAGCTAAAAAAAATCTCAACATAAAAAAAAAAAAATACACCCGACCTGAAGGATGCAAATGTTGACCGAGCAGTTCAAGATACACACCGACAAGACAAGATCGACAGATATACTTTGATTTACAAGCTACATGTGAACTTCGAAAATCACTGCATTTGTATGTGGATTTTTAACCTTATCTTATTATATATAAATACTTCTACTAAACTAAAGTAACAAAATAAATAAAGCTTCTATACAAACAAACTTGTTTTTTACATTTTCCTACAGTGAAAACCTACACAACCAAACCTGACAGAATAGCTAAATTATTTCAATAACAAGATTATAAACAAACAGCTGAGTTCTCCCTATCAGCAATATTTCCTCTTTTCAAATTTTTCCCCATCGCTTCCAGCTAAACATCAGTGGATTTTTGACTAAGTTTGTCACCATACACTTCCCTCTGGGATTATTAAAGTATGTCTGATTCTGATCAGAAACAGTCTGTTTAGATTATGGGTGGCCAATTCCAGTTCCTGAGGGCCGGTATCCTGCAACTTTTAGATTTGCCTTTTATTCGACACACCTGTATCAAGTTATTAGATGATTGAGAGGACTCTACATGAACTAACTGCATGCTGAGGAGATAACTCAGCCATTTGATTCAGGCGTGTTGGACCAAGGATGGATATAAAAGTTGCAGGATACAGGCCCTCAGGATATAGAATTGCCCACCCCTGGTTAACGTGTGTTTTACCTCAAATACAATACCTCTGACATGAAGCAGATTTAAATGTGTACTAGTACTAGCAGCCTAGGAACGCAAATAGGAGGGAGTGGCACCCCCTTCCCTTTCATCCTGGGCACGGTGGGTCATTCATCAACAACTAATAGCGTGTCTGGGACTGTCGACTTAAGGGCTACACTGATGTATGACCCAGTAATGGCAATGGGAGCATAGAGGAGGGGATACACTGGTCATTTATTGGAACCCTGAACAGTATAGAAAGGAAATGGTCTGTATATGGGATTAACCCTTCAGTGAGCGAATAAAGGGAACCTGCTGTTTTACTCTAGTGAGCCAATCCAACAACATGACTTTCATTTGCATAGCAAGAATTGACTTGAAAGCTATGGGACATTACTCAGTTTGGCCCCTTTAAACACATCTCTCCTGAATGAGTTTCAGATGTATTGAACAAAGTGAATTATGGGGCTTTACTTCCTGAAATCACAGACTGTGGTGACATAGAGCGACTCAATAAATATGAATTAGAGGACACACATGCTGAAGCATGGTGGATTTTAATTTTGATCTTAATTTTGAAGTAATTCAAATCTTCTTGTAGTTTATATGGGCCGCTAGGAGTGTAGATTTGTCAAGTTTGACCTAGAGGAGCACAGATTATTTACCTAGATGCATCTGTTCTGCCTTTTTTAGAGCGACTTCAGTCATTTCTGGGCGTAATGACATGAAAGGCCAATGTTTTATCTACCAGAGCTCTATAGATTAGATAGAACAGGTCGTTTCTTTGGAGAAAATTTCAAAAATACCTGCTTACTTCTTCAGCCACTCCCAACAGCTGATGTTACTGTACAAAGTATTTTTGATGAATTACTGAGATAGTTTATCAGAGAAATGCTCAAATCTCATCATAATGGGAACAAAATGTTCCCGAGGCAGAAATACAAAGATTTTTCTTTTTATGGTTGGCAAAATGCCACAGCATCCTCAATCATAAGACTATAGGAGGACAACTCTGATGTATAAAAATCGGAATCGGTGTTGGCTTTTTAAAAAGCCTGATCAGTCCACCCTTAAGTTGTAGTGAGGTGGATGGAGATATATATATATATATATATATATATATTTCACTGATAATCCTCAAATAGTACAACTCACCGGTTCTTGATCTCCCATCACCCGGACTGTTGTGATGCCCCACCAGGTTGTTGGTCTCCTCCAGCGCTGATCCATTCCCATCCTTCTGGAACTTCTCAGCTTTCCCCCTCTTCCCCTTACCCCCATGGGAATGCCCGTGGCCTCCCCCGGCATGTCCGTGGAAGAGGCAGAGGCCCAGCAGGTTGATAAGAAGCCCCGCGGCGCCCACCCCGGCCACCACCACCGGGGTCTTGATCTCGTGGGGGTCGGTGAAGCGCTCGACGGCCTCCAGGACGATGGTGAAGCACAGCGCCGTGAGAAAAACGGCGTTGACCAGAGCCCCCATCACCTCCGCCCGGATCCATCCGAAGGTGTTCTTTTTGGTCGATTGGGTTTTCTCGGCGAACCGCACCGCGACCAGAGCCACGACCAACGCGATAACATCCGAGAGCATGTGGAAAGAGTCCGAGAGCATCGATAGGGAAGAGGTGACGCGGCTCACCACCACCTCTACGATGAAGAAGCTGAAAGTCAATGAGAGCATACATAGCAGCCGGGCACGGTTTGGCTCACAGGCCATTGTGTTATGTTTGTTTCCTGGTTGTCCTCCGTCGATTCGAGTTCAGAGGGAGAGATAACGTTTCACGGTGTCCTCCGGGTGAAGCTACATCCAGAGTGCGGATTTCATGGGAGTTACTGGATTCTAGGAACCGTGTGAAAACCCTGCGGACGTCACCAGCATATTCCAGACAAATCTGCCGACAAGCTCCGCTTTGCAGACGGCTGAAACTTTGCACCCGAGCCGGTAAACTTTCCACACGAACCACGTCAGACTCCTATTGGACGAGAGAACCCGGAGGAGGAAGCCCATTGGTTGAATTTTTCGACCGATATTAAAGGAGGCGCTTATGAACTCAACAACGGAGGTAGTTAGGCACGCTTCATCGTTACTGTAATCTCGCGATATGAACGTTGGACGATTAAGAAAAGCCAGTAGTATCGATCATTAATTATGTTTCTTTTCAAAGGATTTCTGAACAGTGGAGCTGAAACACAACACAAATATTCTTCTAGAAAACACGTATAAAAAAGTTTAAAAATCAAGCATTTGTGCTGCCTCTGAATACATAATTTCTGTAATAAAATGTAATGTAGAACTGTAACTATACAGTCATGTTTATATTACTGTTTTTCAAGGCTGCACTGAAAACATGAAATACAGAGCTGTTCTAAACGAAATTTCTTTTTGTTTATACTCCTGTATACAAAATGACAAAATAAATCTGTTTAAGTCCAAGTCTCTAATAATACTAAGTATTCTAATAAATACATTTTGTAGTAAGATACATTTGGACATAATTCTAACCCCATCCAGAGGCAGAAAATACACAAACACAAGATTTTCATTGATACAAATAAAATAATCATTAACTAATTCAATAACATCCCTAACTGTTTAAATTCTAATAACTATCTTTTTATATAATTCCTAAAATGTTTTGTTTTAGGTTATGAAGTTTGTATCTTTCTGGTTAAAGATTTTATTAAAAGATATGATTTCTTTGAGCAACAGTCACATTTCCTATACAAAAATTTACCAAACTTAAGTTATAAGGAACAACCCCCCCAAAAATACAGCTTTATAAACAGGAAATGGATGCAAAATGTTTTAACTTTTGTTTATTTCAAACAATACTAGGCTGATTAAGTGTACACTTACCATCTATAAAGAATTAAATTATTTGTAAACTGGAGTTTTCCTTAAATGTATTCTATTGACCGTTTCAGATGTGCAAATTTCCCAAATGATTTTTTGATTAGTCAAACAATTAGGGAACATGAAGGCCATCTGATAATTTCATTGTGCTGATGAATAGTGTTAACAGAAACTTCCTTTTTAATCTCATCCTTAAATCAAAGCATTAACTCCTAAATGGAAGCCATTTCTGTTCTGTTGGCTGTGATTGCCTATTCTGTAGTAAACCGATGACCCCTTGTGGAAACTATTAAGTCTTGATGAAAGGTGTCTCTAATGCAAATGACTGCTGTGAAGCATTGTCCTATTAAAAGTCAGCAATCTAAAAATATATTTCTGTTTTTTGAACACTTAAAGCAAATGAATTGGGTTCATAATCAACACAGACATGTTTATTCTTAAAATAATCCTTTTTTATAGTTAAACAATCTGTGTAAGAAAACAAATGAAGGAAAAACATACAAGGAACATTAAAAATCACAATAGCTGCCTACCATTTTCAAAACACCTCCACAGGTTGTATGATAAAACTTTAAATACTATACACACACACACATCTTATGAAATATCAAATTTACATCCAGTTTTAAAAACCTCACTTTCTTTTTGATATGACTGTTTCTCTTATGTTCAGCGGATGCCGAGGATCTGTCTGCTTTTCAACTGGCAGATTTTCTCCACTTCGCTTAGTTTTTGAGCCCGGAGGTTAGCGGAGTGCAGGCGCCGCAGCATTAAATCCTGGTACGGCCCACCGTGCTGGCCATCGGGCTGCTGGTTCTCTTTGCTTTCACCCGCAAAGTGGACCTTCTTCTTTCCAGGGGACAGTTCCTCCGAATCTACAGTAAGGAAGCAAGAGACCAACCCAGAAACATCAGAATAAGGTTTTATTTAATCACAAACACAAGACATTTGAGGTGTGAATTATGGATTAAAATGCAGATTTATTATAGTTAAGATGCCGTTTGTCTATCAAAACTTTATTAACATGATATAAATATGTACACTCATGATTAAAACATAAATAAATATTTTTAAAAAGCTGTTTCAATGTCGGGCTTGGTGTAGTAAGTGGAAACCCCTTTGCTGGATTCCCATACCTATGTCTTTGTTATAGCCCCGTGCCACCTCCTTTTGCTGATGCAGCCGGTTGTAATTCCTCAGCAAACTCTCTGCTCTGCTCCAGAAGAAAGAATATAAAAAAAAAAAAAAAGGACAAGTCAACTGAGAAGACTACAAAGCTGATGGTAACAGCAAGATAAGTTTTAATGTCAGATTTTTCTGGGTGTTACCGTGCAAGTTTCTCAGTAGTCAGTCGCTCACGTACACACAGTTCCTGCTCCCTTCCTGCCATCCAAGAAGACAGAAGGAGACGTTAAACCAACATTTCAATAGTGAACATATTTCTTCTGGATGCATAACAGCATACAGTCAGTCTGTAGATGTGGGGGTGTAAGTAGTTTAAAGTTTCCTTGAAAAACCTCTGCTAACGGCAACATGAATAAGCCGTCTACATTTATTTTCTAGTATCGTTGAAAGCTACCCCAAAAGCAAAGTTTGACATTAATACAGGAACACTTCCTAAATCAAATATTAATGAATTTGAAGTTAAAGTAAGATGTTTTCCAGAACTTTTTAACAAGAAGATGCCCATCCCCCCTAGCCTAGTAAACTAGCCCCAACCACCAGCGGCCAAAATCATTTTTGCGTGCATTTAGTCTGATTTATCAGGCTACAACCCCCCAAATCTGGACCAACAGGCTAAGGCTAGCAGGTTTAAGCATTTTTTTTTTGCTGAAATCTTCAATTATTTTGAATTTTCAAAATAAAATGTGCAAATTTTCTAATTTTAAATATTTAAATAAACATTGAACCCTTTTTTAAAAAAAAAAAAAAAAAAAAAAAAAAAAGACTTCCAAGTGCTGTCCTTTAATTGGATTTCTGGATCTGATCTTTATGTGTTTTCTATTTCCAATCTAAACTTAGACTTAGTGTATACAAAATGACAAAGTTTGTCTGAGTGTATCCAAAACAAATTTTCATTGAATAAAAGCTTCCAACAGTAAAATGAGCAGCTTACAAAAGAGAAATCAACATTACAATTTAAGGTGCAGCTTAGGTCATCATGTAAACAGTATTGGAGAAAATGAAAACCAGTTTAAAAAATGTTGGTGCAAAAGTGCATTAGGTTCAAATTACACAGAGTCTCAAGTCTTTATGGTTCTCTAAACATGTGGATATATAATTACTGTACCCTGATGTTTGAATGATCAAAATTACTTGTCTGCATATTACACCAATTGTCACATAACAATACAAAGGCCTGATTCAGTAAAATGATAAAGGGGCATTTGATGGCTCTTTAGATGTCTGAAATAGCTAGATCCAATGACAAAGCATAAATAAATCCTAAAACAAACAGATGTATATATAAACCAGGTATAGTTAGCACCAAGTGATCTAGCTTAAAAATCTATTTTCCATTTTTTACCGCTAAATCTGAAGAATATATTTTTTTTCTTCACTAAAGTTTCATAATGAGAAATCACTAATAATGCTTTCAAAAAAGTAGCTTTTCTTTCAATCATCTCCTCGCACAGGTGAGATTAACTTAAAGATAAATTACATTCAACCTGTGAAACATGCTTGTTTTATGTGTTTTTATATGTCTTATTGTACTGCTGCCTCTTGGCCAGGTCTCCCTCGAAAAAGAGATTTTATCTCTAGGGACTTCCTGGTAAAATAAAGGTTAAATAAAAAAATAAAAAAACAATGACAATCTAACAGGATAAATGTTTTCAGCTAGTGGTGTTACACAGTGAGCTAGTTATCAGTTACGAGTGCACATCAAAGAACAGAAAGTAATGAACTGATGTCACTCTGGCACTGAAGGAGTGTCACCCTGAAGGAGTGTCACACAAGGAGGGGAATGGTAAATAAAAGAAAAAATAAATTTTCCAAAAGTTAAATCCTCACAACTAAAAAAGGAGGTCCAGCGGAAAGCCCAAGCTTCGGGGAGCAGCACATCCGAGCGTTCTGCCGTTCAAACGCTGGAGTTAAAAAATTGACCTTTAGCAATCAAAAAAAAAAAAAAAAAGATCTAGGAGTTTTTTTGGAGGAGACAATACATGTTTTTAATCACTTCTTTAATCACGGAAGTGTTTCTCTTCAAAAACAGCAATGGCGTGTCTACAAGATATAACGGTCACGACGATGGATCTAGAGTGGCTAGACATCGAAGAGGATATATTTATTTATATAATTTGTCTGAGGCATCGTACATGTGGTTGTACTTCCAAACCTCCTCGATTAACCTTTAGTTGTAGTTGTCCATTGTTCCTCGGTTTTTAAAAATGGCATGCCCTGACACCAAATCGAGACGGATGACCACACAGGCAGCCGGAAAGGCATACCAAGGACCAATCACAGCTGCAAACCCGTGTCGCTTGAGGTTTGCAAACTTCCAACGCATAGTCAGGTTTTTTTGGGGAGGTTGCAGAACCTCTGGGTGGGGGGCGTGGTTGCGCACAGAGACAGATTTGACGGTTGCAGAGGCTATGCGTCAGAAGCATAAATTGGCCTTTATTGTCCACACTGGAGAAATGCAGTGATCCTTCTAGATTCCTTTTTCATACTCATCCAAATCTGGAGATACAATCCCTGCCATTTCAGACTTTGTAGAACTCTGCTTTTTGTTTTTTTCAATTTAGATTTGTTGAGTATAAAACTGAGATTTTTCTGATTTTAAGCCACTTGACTATGAAAGGTTTTTAAAGTAGAGGCACTGTAACCTATCAGATCCAGAACACAGCCTGTTTGGAACCATAAATGCTGAGGTCTTACTCTCCAGTCTTTCCTCTCGTTCCTTCAGCACCTGCTCTCTGTCCTTCAGCGCCTGCTCTTTGAGCTTGAGCTCTGCCACACAGACAGTTCCCATTTCGGCCAACTTGTGAACAGGACTGTCAGAGTCTGCAGATCTCCTCTGAGCCCGAGCCTGAATCTTCCTCTGCTCCTCAGCAACACTGTCACTTAACAGACCGCTCTGAAGGATGGACTCCACAGATGGTCTCAGGTAGTCCTGCAGACAGAGGGGATGTTTCAGGGATCCTTACGAGCATAAATACAGGTTAAGCTCAGGGAAAAATAAGCTAATGTTTCCAACCTTAAGGTTGAGCATTTTGCCAAGTAAGGTGTTCAGTTCTTCAGAGTACCGGTAAGGGATTCTTCTGAACTTCCCATCTCTGATCTTCTCCGCCAACTCTCTCTGGTTATATGCAGTGAATGGAGGCCTAAAAAGGACAACAAGCAGAAGAATGGAAGTATGATCTGCTGTAAAGCTGCTTGTGGAATCCGTTCCTGCTAACTGTGTAGAATAACTTACGACAATGCACAAAGTTCATATAGCAAACATCCCAGGGACCAAATATCTGACTTCTCATTGTAGGACATCCTGTTTATCTGCTCCTGAAAGCACAATTACAGAAAAAAAGAAACAGAGTTTTCTTTCTTAAAGATAAAAGGGTCATAGAGTGGAAAACGGGTATCATCTGCATTTCATTTTATTTGGAACTGAAATCAGCATAGTGCCTGACTAACAAGACTCTAATAAGACAAATGACCAGAAACAAGCACACCTAAAAACTAAATCACTACCACTGCCTAAATATCAAGGCAAACAATTCCTGCATGTAGGTTGTGCTTTGGTGGTGCAGTGGGTTCGCATCCAACCAGATGTCCTTTCCCGCAGATCTTTACCTTCTCATACCCCCTTTCCTGTCAGTCTACTGTCCATAAAACCAGCTACTAGTGCCGTAAACATTCAAAATAAAATACAAAAAAATAAAAAAAAATTCATGTTTGCATGGTCTGATTAGCAACAAGTGACTTTTGATTTTACTGGGACAGAATGTGATCCATCAACATAAAGTGGTGCATAATTGAGGTGGAGGAAAAATGAAATGGTCTGAAGCAAGGCCAGAATGGCTGGGTTTAGGACCAACAACTATTGCTTAGAACACAGCTTACCTATTGTTAAAGTCATAGGGAAATGGCTGTTCCACCCGCTGCATTTCCGAATTCTCTCCTGAGCGGTGCCCAACTTTACACAAGTAAATATAGTGAATGTGACTGGTCGTTTATCAAGGGGGTGGGATTCTTGTGGCGAAAGATTTGCAAGCAAGTTTGGTTGTGGCCAGTGCCTCGGAAGCATCTTGCTAACCAGTTAGCAACTTAGTGCTAGTAGGTTCCCAATGGGAAATTACATTGGGACCAAGTAGCACTTAGCAACGATACTGTCAAGGAACGCTATGGAGAGCAGAAACATGCAAGAGGAGGAGAGTTTTGTGTCGGAAGTCGTGGATGAGTCTCCTCCGTCATACATTTTTTATTTAGAGGAGGGAAGTGGGGACGGAGATGTTGTGGAAGAGGACGCCAGAAGCTGGGTTTGGTGTAGAAGGCTTACAGCCGTACATGTTTAAGCCCTTGCCTCGCAACGCTGCCAGTTCTGTTAGCTCTATGCCTGCTGAAGACACAGACGTCCATCCCCGTGAACACGGATTACTCTTATTTCTTATTTCAACCGTGCATATATTAGCTGCGACATATGAATCAAGATGCTATAACCGAAAAACTTGATTGACAGATGACTGTTGATATACAACTGCCCGAATTTAGGTGTTTAGGATGACGTACAACTGACTGGCCTGCATAAAATAGCGGGGGAAAAAACACAGATTTTAAGACAGGATTTTCTTTTTTTATATAGAAATTTTCTAAATTTTGGGACAATATAGTCTGATAAAGAGTACTCTTATATACATGACTTCCCTATGACTTTAAATTGAAAAGATGTTCAGTTGGTCAAAGACACAAAATATAGCTCTAAATCAAAAAGACATCTTACTGGAGACATGTAGTACGGTGTCCCAACAAAAGTCTTTGCAAAGCTGGTGTCGTGGTTCAGAATCCTCGCCAGGCCAAAGTCTCCAAGCTTAACATTCTGCTTGACGTCAAGGAAGATATTGGCTGGTTTCAGGTCGCGATGAAGAACCGTGGCCCTGCCGTCGCTTCGTCTGTGACACTCCTTCAGGGCCAGAGAGAGCTGCGCCATGACCCGAAGGATGAACTGCTCCTCCAAGTAACGCCTGCAGGGCAAACAGGTTTGTAACTTCGTACAAGGGGAAAGATTAGTGGACATCTCTGCTAGAGTGACCTTTCTTTGATGCAGCGACTGATGAGACTGGCCAAGTCCCCTCCTTCACAGTACTCCATGACGATGTACAGTGTGGTGTTGGTGCGGTCGATGATGCGGTCGTAGTAGCGGACTATGTTGGGGTGCTTGAGCTCCCTGAGGAGGTTGACCTCTGACACAAGCATCTGCTTCTCGCTCTCCGCCATGGTGCCATAGTCCAGCTCCTTCCACACCAGGACCTGCAGAACACAGGCTCTTTTATTAGTCAGAGGGAAAGAGATTAAAATAAAAGGATCTTGGATGGTAATAAATACCTTGTCTCCAACCCTTTAAATGAGATGCTTAGAGTACTGCTACAGTTTTTTTAGGGTAACAATGTTTTTGTAGTTTTTTAAAAACATATACCTACTAATATTAGCTTGTTTTAACCTGCAAAATCAGATCATATTCAAAATATCAAAAAACTTTATTAACACCAAGTTCTATGGATACTAATGCTGAAAATAAATACAAAAAATAATAATCTCATGAAATATTACATATTGTTATAAGTTATCAAAATATTGATATTCCAGTTTATTTTTTTACAAGCAGCAGGGTTAATGTTTGCCGTTATGTCCCTTTAAATTATATACAATGAATCCCCTTTTGTTGCTTAGCGTCACAATTATTCATCTAAAAAGAAACAGTTAAAAAGCGGTCACTTGCTGCTAATGCTACAGGTAACGGTTTCGCCGTTTTGAGTTGGCTTACTTCAAACATATACTCACTTTGCCGTCACTTTTTCGTCTTATTTTCTGGCATCTCCCGTAAGAACCGGAGCCTATAGTGTTCAACACTTCATAGTCCTCTACACGGGACGGCATCTTTTAGTTGGCTCCCTCCAAACAGACGTTACAACAGACCTGACTTAACGTTAATGCGTCGTTTTAACGTTTATTTAAACCGCCAACCAACGTTTAAACCAACTCGCGATTCTTTTGTCTAAAATATAGGTTTGCTTCTTTCCTTGGTGAGCGTTTCTGTGCGTGAAAGCTGTTGCTCCATACAGGAAACCCTCACAATAAGTTTTAAACTGCTGCCGAAATGCCAGCTTTTGATTGGCTAAGCCGCCACGCATGCTCGGCCCTAATTGGTCAATATGAAGAAACAATCATGTGGTTGCTAAGCGTCCAAGAACCGCGAGAGTAGCGCGGGTAAACGTAAGTTCCTTAATGTCCACACGATGGCGGCAAAAACAAACGAAAAAGTGAATTCTTACCATCTAAGATATGTCTGGAAGTCAATATACAGCAAGTAAGCTTAAATGTTTTTCTTTTGCTTCACACACACCACAGTTTCTAATTATTTAACAGACGTAAACTTCCTCAGTTTGACAGCTTAGCACTTTTAGAGATTTTTTTTTTTTACCATTTTGCAGTCTCCCTTCAGACTATGTGAGGAAAACCAGACCTTTGCCTGATTTAAATGTTTTGTGCAGATGAATTGCAGCTTTAAAGCTTTTAATCTATGACATATTCGAATCTGTTCACATAGACGATTTCTGCATCTCTCCTCAGTATGTATATAGATAGATAGATAGATAGATAGATAGATAGATAGATAGATAGATAGATAGATAGATAGATAGATAGATAG